AATAATATTTTATTTCCCTCCTTTTAAACCTTTTGACCTGGATGGGGGTGGGGGGGGGTGAGATGGGGGTGAGATCAGCAACCCCCCAACACCGGGATCCTGAGTGTCCCCCCCCATGAGCACCAGCTTCAACAGCCCCCCCCAGCCCTGCGGTGCCCCTCACTCCCGACCCGCAGCCCCCTGATAGCCCAGCCCTGCCCTGCCCCCCCAGCCCTGCCGGTGCCCCTCACTCCCGACCCGCAGCCCCCCGATCACCCAGCCCCCCCCCAGTCCCGCCGCACCTTGTGCTTGGTCATGGCCCCGACGATGATGGGGCAGACCATGCCCGAGAGGGTGCCCACCCCGTTGGAGATGCCCATGAGGATGCTGGCGTAACGTGGGGCGATGTCCAGGTGATTCACGTTGAACCCTGTGGGGACGGGGGAGCAAAGACAGTAGGTCAGAGCCCCCTGCCCTGTCCCACGGCGCCCCCACCCCCTGCCCTGCCCCATGGCGCTCCCTGCCCTGCCTCATGGCGCACCCTGCCGCACCCCTGCCCCCTGCCCTGCCCCACAGCACCCCCTGCCCCACGACACCCCCTGCCATACGCCCCGCCCCATGGTGCCCACTGCCGCACCCCCACCCCCTTCTCTGCCCCACGGCACCCCCTATCACCTCCTACCCCCTGCCCCACAGCACCCCCTGCCACACTCCCATCCCCTTCCCTGCCCCACGGCATCCCCTGCCGAGACCCAACCCGCCTTCCTTTCCCCCCAGCACCCCCTGCCCTACTCCCTGCCCCACATCGCCCCTGCTGGGTCCCCGTCCTGCTCCTTGCCCCACGGTGCTCCCCGCCGACCCCCCACTCTCTTTCCTGCCCCACGGCGCCCCCTGCTGACCTGAAATAGCGAAGCCACTGAAGCCCACAGCAAGGACCAAGAATGAGATGGCGACGCCTTTACTGTGGGAATAACCCACCACCAGCAGCAGAGTCGCCTCCATGCCAAAGCCTGGGGGGGGGCAGAGAGAGAAACTGAGTCACACACACCCCCGGCCCTGCCGGTGCCCCTCACTCCCGACCCACAGCCCCCTGCCAGCCCGGCCCTGACCCCCCAGCTCTGCCAGTGCCCCTCACTCCCGACCCGCAGCCCCTGCCAGCCCGGCCCTGCTCCTCCAGCCCCTGCCCGGTGCCCCCTCACTCCCCGACCCACAGCCCCCCTGCCCACTCCCCGGCCCCTCGCCCCCCCCCCCAGCCCCTCGCCCGGTCGCCCCCTCCACCTCCCCG